AACATGGTATGCTAGTATACCATGTTACTGATTAATAATCATCTAATAAATAAACACAACAAACGTCTAGACAAATAACACTAACATCAGTCTTCACTATTGCTTTTCGGTATTAATATATGTCAGATAAAACGAAAAACTTGACTGCTCAGAAATAAATTATACTACAAATGAAGAGCAAAATTCTTGGTTGTGGGAGAAACGTGCCATGTACTCGAGAGTTGGTAGTTAAAATTGGATTAGAGATTCGCAGACATGATTTTGCCCTATTTCATTCTAACGAAAAGACACAAAACCGTTTTTAGCTATCTGCGCGTGCAAAAGTATAGATTTCAGTCAATAAATGAATGGAGCATTTTATGGGCTACCTGTTCAGTGATAGATATTCCAGTAGATGCATTGATTGATGCAGGTAGATAAGTCGATGCTTCGATAGCCAAAACAGCTAAATGAATAAAAGAAATCGCCCAATACGCGAACAATAGTGTCTAGACTCTTCTTCTAGAGCGGTTTTGCTTATGTATGTCTTTGCTCCTTGTGTTGTTTGTTAAAAAAAAGAAGTTCAATCTTTTTTTTCAATCAAGGATTCGTCAAAGTGTGAACACTTACTCGAGTCGATCATGGTAGTTTGTCACAGACTGAACTATAGATGTTAGCGGCTCGACTCTGGTAATACTGACATGAGGCGTCTTTGTTCTTATGAATGTTTATTTTCATGAAAAAAACAATTGTCGTTAGTTTTGTAGGGAAAAAAACTTCATAACTACGGTCAGAAAATCAGCCGATTCACACGCAGTTTTCAACCAAAAAGCGGTTATTTTCTCGTAAATCGTCGGTTTTCCTCGGGTTTTTCGGTCGTGAATAGAACGTTTAGAATCGTTTGTTGTGTTTATTTATTAGATGATTATTAATCAGTAACATGGTATACTAGCATACCATGTTATCGACAAGTGTAACAACCGCATTTGCAATTTTGTGTAACTCCTACCCTGAATTCCTCTGAAAGAGGACGAATACGGAGTGAAAGTTTGTACAGGGACAAATTGCTGGAAATCTGAAAATTTTGCTACCCCGTCTCCCCTCCCCCTAACGCTTGCGGACGTACGCGACCCACAGACAATACTGAATATACATTGTATACGCGGACAACCGAACGTAATAAGCTAACGTGGATAAGCTAAAAGTTGATTATTGATCAGAATCGATTTTTATAGAGTATCTCTGACCTTTTAATAAACTTATTTATTTCTTCTATAACTAGGCATGCACCGGTTACGGTTATTAACCGTTAATCATAACCGTAAAATAATCGGTCGAACGGTTAACCGTAACCGCAAATAACCGCTTTATAGCAACTTAGTATATGTTTGGTGTTTAATTCTTTGATATCGGTTTACATTAGCAGTAGACAAGGATGGTCTTTGTTATGAAGTTTTAGTGCTTCTGCTATAGTGACGTTGATGCACTTCAAATCTGTGTGGTACTCGAATTCATTAGATAAAATACTGAGATTCAGGATGAAAGGTGAAAGATTTTGTTTAAAAAAGCTAAATTACTCTAACAAACAGTGATTGATGAGATATTCAACAATGTCGCCACTTAACAGCCGTTTTTGTGCAACGTAGTGTAGATTGCCATTATAGTAGATACGCTATAACGTCAGAACAAAGACCCGCCTTGCTACTTCTAATGTAAACCGCTATCAAAGAACTAAAAACCAAACATACATTAAGTTGTTATAAAGCGGTTATTTATCGTTGTATATCTATCTATAACCGGGTTAATTAGATCCTTTTTATTATACGTTTACCATTAAAAATCGATTGTAGAATTGCATCATCCAGTTTATTTTCATCCTTGGATTGTTTTTCGTTACATTTTTGACACAAATTATTATCAGCTGTTGTATTGTTATTCTCAGTTTGATTGAATTGAAATATATTTATCAAAAAATAACCTTCTAGTGATAATATTTTATCTTTAAATCGTTCTCTGGTGGTATTATCAGTGAAAGTACCATCTGCGGCTTTATCCAATTCTTTCGTGCTATACATAAAACTTCCGATGGCGAAAACTTTTTCTTTAAGCCTCCCCTTCAGAAACCTATCTCTGAAAGTATAAGTCAGAGTTTGATCAAACTTTTAGGAGATATTGATCTTGTGAAAGTGTGGTGACGAAATTTTTGTTTGGTTCCATCGCGCATAGTTTGTGAGATGTCGCCACAACAGTGACCAAAATGGGGCTTTTCGTAGCTGCAAGATTTCTCAGTAACGAACCGTTCTGGAGAGCTCAGGTTGGTCTTAAGTTGACGAAAACACATGTGGCTAGAGGCTGATAGAGCCGAATTTTTGATATTTTACTTTTCAAATTGATGGTGACGGTCGAAAGTTTAAAATTCGGAAAAGTCTCGTGAACTTGTATAAAGATATTTTCCTAACTACAAACCTAGACCAAATATTAAAAATCGGGCTCTATTAGCCTCTAAACACAGTTATCAGCTTCAGTTTAAGACCTTTCCGAACTCTCTGGGATGTTTCGTTACCGAGAAACCTTGCAGCTACGAAATAGTGTTAAAGTGAAAGTCGATTTCGAGATATCCCAGGTGAAAAACGTTCGGTCGGATTCCGAAGGTTCCGTTTCATTCGACTGTTTCCAGGTGTTTGACGTCTGACCGGATACGCTGAGCGGATTTTTTAATTTCTGTTCCTTCTGTTATATTGCAATGTCTGGAACTAAGGTGGATCCGATCAGCGGATTCTATGACCGAACTGTTTGAATCTGATGATCGGAAGTGAACAGATCCATCCAACTATAGCTCTTTCTTTTCGCTCTTTTCTTTTCTTTCCTTTTCTGTTCTGTACGGTGAATAAATTCTTCGATTTGTTTCTCGGTGCTTTTAGTATAAATACGACACTGTAGAGCATGAAACATGAGATTTTTTTTCTCCAAGTTTTCGCACTAAATAGTGTGATAGTGGGAGTCATCGAAACTTACTGATGATCGAAGATGTCTGACTCAGTCGGTTACACACGCCTTGGGCTAGATGTTGGTCAGAGATATCTGATCACAAATGTTTGCTCTATTTTCTGGCGTTATTTAAAATATTTTTGGATTTGTTTTTTCATCCGGAAATAAAATGTTTTAGACAAGTCAGCTTTTCAAGGTTTTCAGAAAACTTTTCTAAAAACCTTCATATCCCTTCGATGAGAACCAAATAATTTTGGATCCTGATAGTAGATACTGTGGGCTATACGATGATGTGTTTAGGTCAACATCGACTTTTTATAAAAAATTATATATTTCTGACGCGGAGGGGAGGAGAAGGTTAAGTAGTTTTAAAAAGACTTACAAGACATCAGTTTGTTTTTTCTTATAAAGTTCATCAGATCGCTCTTTCGCTGTACCATATAGAGCTCGATAACAATTGGAAATAAAATTGGCTGCACGTCCAGTTCCCTAAAATTTCGATCCTTAAGTTGGTATCTAGAATCTGTAAGGTTTTAACTAAAACTTACATCAATAACAATTACTGGTGTTTCAACATCTAATGATTCAAGAACTGTTAGAATAGATGATGGTCCTCCTTCAGCTAAAATCTGAACTATTGGCACCGTATCTTCTACATAAAACAAATTTTTTGTTCGTTAATAATATCATCGCAGATCGTTTGTTACCTTTTCCTTGAATTATAACATTTCTTGCTTCTTTTTCGATTGCCGGGCGCAAATTCAGTATCAAATCTGATCGAAATTTAGACTTGTACTTGTGTGCCCAACACTCTTCAATCTCACAATTTCTGCATTTGTCATCTTTTAGTACGTGCGAAGGATATTTCTGACAGTCATCTAACAGAATAAAATGTGTGTGATTTGAATCTAAAGGATAACCTTCTTCTTCCTCTGGATAAGATTTTCGTGTAAATTTTCGATATAATCGTACAGGTGTAGGATGTTCTAGCTGAACATGTAGGGGCTGAGCCGATGCTAATTGTTTCTGAAAGCAGAAAGGAAGTATTTGCATTGTATTATCAGTTTGAAGTCTAGATTTACCGATACACTTTGTTCTTCGGTTCGTTTCAATTGTTCGTGACCTTACAAAAAATATATTATATGTTATCCTTTTCAGAACGTGGATTTAGTGCAAAGTTTTTTAATAACATCTGTACAAAGACAATTAAGAGAGTTGCGGTTTTCGTCATTCAAGTGAGGAAGCTGAAAGACGTCTTTTGACAAGCAAAATGAATTTCAAAATCCTGTTTAAAAGCACGTTTTTTAGGAGATACTTGAAGAAAAGATCGTGACTCCAAAACTTCAACTAAGAATATTATCATTGTTTTCATGGATAGATAAACAAGAGTGTGGTCTTAAGAATGAGACATAAGCGAGATTTTCAAATTGCTCTCATTTAATACGGAAAAATTCAATTTTCATTCATAAAACAACAGAACCAGTTGAAAAGTTCCGCATATGGTCGATGTTGTGCGCTAAGCATGATTATACAATTAGAAAAATTGAAGTTCTATACGTTTGTAAAAGGTTTTTTAGAAGCCCCTTCGAAAAACTATAGAGTTTTGTAAATTTTTGCAGATTTATCATCAAAAGAATATAGAATAGCATTGGTATTCTACATTCCGAAGTTTTCAGGTTTTGATGTTTTATGAGTAGAATATAGAATAGAATACAGTGTTAAACAAAGCGTTGAGTGTCCACTTGGCTCAGAGACAGCGAAACGAGAAAATTCCTAAAAGCGGAATTTCTCGATGGTCCTTACAAAACCAAACTTGTTTTCAAGAAATTAAAATCTTTTTATATCAAATACTCACTCCGAACAGTAAACAGCTAACATCTCTCCTTGACTTATGTTTCGAAGAGGACATCTTGCATTATTTATCGATAAAATCACTACATCGAAGAGCTAGATTTGTTTTCCGAAAATCTACTCAAAATGTGCTTCGCAAAATGGTTTCTCAATGATGTTGATTGTGTAAAAAGCGTCGTTGTTTTCGAGTCGCCAGACTTGCAAATCTCTATCTCCTTTCGTTTGGTACTTATTCAAAAAATAATACAACGCATTTGCTTTCGAAATGGACAGGTTTTTAATGTTTAAGAGCTAACGACGTAACGAGTTCTAGGTTTTAAATGAAAAATTGTGTGCTGAATATTTTCATAGCTACTCTTCGTCTCTTATCTAATCAGAAGTATCGTCATTATATTCCAGAGTCAAAATCTGACTTTTTTTGCGTGGTTTTCAGCATTTTTCGTACATCTCGAGAAGGAAAGCATATTTTTCGGAAAAAAAAAATTTCATCCTGAGGTAGGATCTGATGTATCTGTGGTAAAAAGATAGGACCATTTTTTCGTACCCTTAATATAAGAATGCGTGCAAAAGAACAGAACAAGAATAAAGAGGCGAACCTATTACATCTTTTTGTTTTGTTGGCGTTCTTCGTGTACAGAAAAGCAAGAACGATTATCTGAATGATTTTTCAGATTGGTAAATTTTGTCTGTAGCGATCTTTGAGTTTCGTTTTCTGTGCAGAAATAAGTGGCAAATACTCCGCCCAGTTAGGGTTATTTTCAGAGCCCCGACTTAAAATACGTGTAGGGAATGAACAGACGCGAAATTCAAAAATCGCTAGGGACAAACTTTAGATTTAGGTGTCTACTTTCATTTGATCGGCAGCTTTCTGCTCCTTCCAACAACAAAATCTCGACGTTTTTGCTAAGCGCCTCATGTTGCCGTTGTCACGCAATAACACGGCAACGCTTCAACGTTTTGAGCTCAAATTTTTAGCGTAAACTAGGTGGAGAGTAAGCATCAATCGCTGTAAGCGCTATCGAAATCGGATGTGACATAACAAAGTTTTTTTCGTTTAGAAGGGAGGCAAAGTACGAACAAGAACCTTTTATAATAAGTAAACTTCTAAAACTTCTAAGAACGTTTCCAACTATCAAATCGCTTTCGAGTCGAAACCTAGTAGACTATAGGTAGTCGCGTATGCTGATTCCGAATATCAACAAGAGACAGGCTGCTAGGCCTCCAGAGACTGATTTTCTTGAAAACTAGTTTTTCAGAAACTCTAAAAAATAACCAAAGTCTTTCTTAATAAAGAAAATTTGTGACGCGCACATTTCTGATTAAAATGAGACATCTCCCAGCTATAAACGACCTTTCTTTGCAAAGTTATACAATTTACAAGAAAAGCCCTAAATTAATTTCTTCTTATTTCTGTAGCTTTGAGCTGACAATAAACATTTAGGGCTTTTCTTGTAAATTCTATAACTTTGCAAAGAAAGGTCATGTAGAGCTGGAAGACGTCTCATTTTAATCAGAAATTTGCGGGCTATAATTATATCTCATTAAAAANTAGTTATCTTTTAGAGTTCTTGAAAAACTGGTTTTCCAGAAAACGGGGTCTTCAAGAGTCATGGGCCCGAACCCTTTTAGAATTTTCTTAGTCTCACTGAGTCCTACTTATAGCCAAAATATGGAGCCAAACGGCGTCCGACAGTTGGATAGGTTCCCTCGTGAGAGCATTGCAATTTGTTTTCTCTCATAAACAACACAGCAACACTAATAGAGCAAAAAACTGAAAGTGCCTTGTAAAAATCGAGGTCCCTTGGCTCTTCATCTGCCCTGATCTGGAATAGCATCGATTTTGGCTTGAAAAAAATACAAGAACCGAGCGAAAGCTTATGTTTGGTGAAGTAGCGCATTTTATACAGTTTTCGTGAAAACTTAAAAAACTGCAGGCAGGTTTTATTTTATATTTTCCAAGTGTCTTTTGATCATACATGGTAGACTTACTTTAGAATAAAATTTGCATTTAGTTTACCCAGGGGAAGATCCTTTTTGTAATCTCATTCTGAGCCTTTGCGAGATGTACTCGCACAACGAAGAATTTCTACGTTTTCAAACATGATTAGAACTGTAAAAATTCCCGTTGCGTTGATTCAATGCTAACTATTTTTTCAGTTAACGTTAAACCAACGGTAGCTGAAAAGACAGTTACCATCACTTAACGATAACTGCACTTCCAGTTACCGTTTAAATATCGATAACTATCAGTTAGTTAACTTTACGATAACTATTTTTAAAGTTAACCAGAAAAATACACGTAGCGGCTTAAAATGACTTTCAGAATCGTTAGTTTGTCACTAAAACTGTTGAAATCTTCATAAATGACCTGTTTTTGGAGTCTAATTTTGTGAATGAAAAACAAAAACATTTTTCAAGTTGGCTGTAGATGCTGAGGTCTCCAGAGACCTCTTTCAAAACCGCAGTTATAAAATATCGAAGTTATATAATTTCGATCAATTTAGTTGATTGGCACGTATGTGGCAATCAAAAGCCATGTCACTTATGAGAGCTTCAACAGTTTTAGTAGAAAATGAACGATTTTGGAAACCATTTTATTGTAAGCCTATCAACGGGCGAATCTATGAAAAACTTAAAAATTCCATATTTTTGAACAGAATGACTTGTAAAGTTGAAACTTTTGTAAGTATCACAGATATATAGAAGAGTCATAGAAAAAAAAAGTTGAGCCCTTAACTACCTTTATTGACTGAATTCCTGCTTTTCTGAAGTCCTAACTTGATTCTCTAGTCTAACTATTCACAAGGTTTTGGTTTCTGGGGGACTGTCATCTCATTTTAGGAAAGTTTTTAACTTAGAGTTGAATGTAGCCAAATGTAAAGAAAATCCGATGCTGTAATATGAGATAGCTCACCGGTTTCCGCAACCATTTCAAAAAAACTAAAAAAGTTTTCAATTTTTTCTTAGAAGAAATGCCACAGTGTCGCAATATTTGTAGCATCAGAAATTCTTTCGTCTTTCGTTTCCAGTTCCTTCAAACTTTTATCAAGTCGCTTTTATATTAAAACGTAGAGTAAATCCAACTTCATTTTTAAAAACTACAGAGTTTTTCTTTAGTTAAAGAAACTATTTGCTTTACATCAACAGTTTATAATTACCAGAAAGCTATTATCGTGTGTGGCAAATAAAAATTCACTGTATCAGTGGCGTAAACTTTTAGTTCTATTTTATACAGTAAAGTAAAATACAAGCAAAACAAGCTTTCTAATTTTTTTCTCTATAAGTGTATTTTTGACATAAGTGATATTATAAATCGAATAAAATTTCTTTTGTGCTCAATCAAGTTCTAATTTCTTAAAGTTCCAAATTAATTTTCCAGTTCAAATCGTTTTTAGCAAAGAGTATTATATCCTGTATATCATCAGACATGCAATTTTACAATTAAACGATTTTCTTTTTTCTACACATGGATAATGGACGTGTCAAAATATCACGTGACAACAAAGATAGTATTAACTTTTACTAACAATTATTCCATTCTACTCTCTTTTATACTCTAAGGAAGAATATTACGACAACTATAAAAAGTGTCATTTTTATCTTATACAATTCAAGCATGAAAACGCGAGAATAATAGGAATAAAGGTAGGAGAAGAAACAAGCAGCACGCAATCACCGTCACTCGGTCTGATTACGTGCACTCAGTAGTGAAATGAATTCTTTAACATAATCATCTAAGATACTACGTCAGTGAACAAAATTTTCTTCTTCTCTATGATCTATTAACTAAATATGATAAAAGTGCGTCTATTATTCTCAAAATTCAGCATTAAAAAAGAAAATCATATGTAAGTATTCTTTAACTAAAGATAAAAAGGCATTTTCTTTCTCTTTTGTCGTCTATTTGAATTACAATAATTTGTCAATTTCAAGTATCTATTTAGTTAGTGTGAATTTTTTTTATTGTCAAATAATTTTTCATTCTATTTTATATTCATAAAAATGTTGCTACATGATACATATTTAATGGTATCGAATAATACACCAAAACAGATATTATTTTATAGTGAATTATTTCGTTCAAATATAACATTATTAATAAGTTTACTTGGGATTACTTGTAATCTACTATGTATATTAAAACTCATCTACGATGAAGAGTCGACAAAATCATTATTATATAGTAGTAAATATTATTTTAT